GAAAGCTCCAGCACTGCAAAACCCGTATACACGGGCTTATTCAGCAGCAAGTTGGCCTTCTTCATGTGTATTACGAAGAAGTTCAACATGTCCACGTAACGTACAAAGCCTGGTTGTGACACGCACCTTTCAGCTTCCTCGCGGGTATTAGCAATACGTATGCTCGCGCGCTTGCGAATGTTTTCCATTGTCTTTCCAAATACACTGTTATTCATCAACTTAAACAGGTTCTTCTCAAAGTCGTTTTTAGCTGCGGTTCGTTTTTGGGTATTAAAGTCAATGTAGGGCTACATCCACGGCTCCTGCGTAAACTTCAATACTCGGTGTATCTTCTTCACGCGTAATCCATGGCGTACGTAAAACTGTAGGTTGCGGTAATGCACCACGTACTTCTTCTTATCCATTAAATTCAAGGTTAGTTTCTTGTAGGGCTTGTAGTTTGGACACAAGCGCTTCTGTAGCGRTGATAACTGCTCAAATGGTATTTCAATTGCCTCGGGGGCAAGTGGGTAATCATCGTGTAAGTCATGTAATTCTGGAGGGTATTCCAAGTCCACCTCTAAGACGTATCCTTTAGAGCTATMAGGCTTTACGCGCATGTAGTAATCTATTTCGCGTGGTTCTACCCACTCGAAGTCTCGCACGGGAAGATATTGGGACATTGCCCACCCATAAAGATTGTTAGCATCCAGGTAAGATATGTAAGTTGTTGGCTTTTCAGGGTCGTAACCTTCCACTTGAGGATTGTTGGCGCGCGCGTAACGTCTACTGGGTCCGCAAACACCACCACGAATACCATCCTCCATAAACCTGTACATTCCGTAGTCGGTTAGCAAGTCCAACTGTGCACCCGTCTTCTTTAACAGAGCACTCCAAGAAAGCCCTGGCGCTGTGTAGAAGTTGGCTGGGTCTAACCCGTAATAAGACATCGACATTTTTCTAAAACTCTGAAATACGTCAGCTAGCAATACTACGTCCGAAAGTAAGTAAACATCGTGGTAATCTCCTAAGTTCTTACACTCATGCTTTTTCCACACTTCCTGCGCGTATGCGTACTCAGCGTCGGTTATTCCTGACTCCGTCAAAGTACTGTAAAACGCTTCCTTAGGTGGCAGCTGCTTCTCTTTAAATCGCCTCCAAGAATCCATGTATTCGTATGGATACACCCCTTTCCTTTCCGCTTCGTACTCGTCGGAAATGGGTGAATCCTCGTTGTACTTAACTAAGTTAGCAAGCGAATCTGCCATGAATTGCTGGGAATCCAGGAACTTCAATTTACCGATGGTTACGGACATGTACCGCTCTTTGTTGTTGGGTATGCACTTTATTTCATGTCCCTCTACTCCCTGGAGAAGTAGGTGGGAATCATACCCGCGAAGGTTGTGAAAGAACACAGGAATCTCCATGTTTGGGTCTACTCGGTGTCTACATTTCCAATGCGCTGCACCCTTATATTCACCGGTAATCTCACAGCAATCCATTACCTTATCCGTGTAGAAGTCTTCTTCCAATGTCTCTCCACAATGGAAGCAATGCGTAGAAGGCTTGCCTGGCTTTTCCCCTTCCTTAGCATAACGACCACACTTAAAGTGCGCTTCTCCTAAATAAGCTCCATTCTTATCCCACACTTTCTTTACTCTACGCCCATATTTCAACAACCCCATGTTACAAACGTGGCATTCTTGCGCCGCATGGTAAGACTCCAAGTTTTCTTTGGACACCTTAGCTTTCTTGGATCTGGTCAGCCTACATCGAATATCTTTCTCTTTTTCCTCTAACGCCTCTATAAACTTCTTTGCAGCATTTGGACCCCTGTAAATTACGGGCTCATCAGCTTCCCCGTCACACCTTACTACCACGTATCCGTACGAACAAATCTCATGTAACGCAGTCTTTCGCGTATTTCCTGACTCTTCATATTCTGGAGTAAGCAACGACTCAAAGTCCGCGTAAATCACGTAAGGTACCTTATTTTGTCTCTTATGATCGTCGTATTGCAGATTTTTATCCACCGGTAATTGTATCCTCTGCGCTGACTCCTCTACTCCTCGACAAATTTTATCATGCTTCTTCAAAGATTTAAGGTCTTTAAATGGTAGTAATCAGGCATCACAATAATACCTTTTATGTCCGTCCTTGCTATGTGAGGCAAATAGGCGACTTAAGGACTTTACCCAGGAATAATGTTCACCATGGTAAAATAAGTGTATTCGTTCTCCTTCTCGGTCCGAGATATGCAGTGGTACGATGGTCTTTTCCCTAACACCGTAAACATTTATCGCTAAGTCATTCCTTTCTTCAAAGTCCGGTATTGCACGCAACTCCATTGGAAATACTACATCTGACCAATCTAAGTCATCGCTTGGGTATTTTGACGGTCTAAACGCATTCTCCTTAACCGGATACAATGCAGACCTCAAAGCCCACTTAAAACATTCATTGTCTTTGTTTCTCACGCTTATTATAGCCTTCTTCCTCTCTATGAACGTTGGTAGCGGTACGTAAGATCCCCCTCTAATTGGCACGTAACGGGCAATGCTAATGGTCGCATTTTCTATCGCCGTCACTGTCCAACCCGATCCTTCCCTAGTGTACTTAGCTAGGGACTCCAACAATGAGTCGACTTGTGAAGACAGCCTTTCCTCCAAATCCTTCGACTCCAAAACGGTTAAGGTCTTGGTGCGCAACCAAACCGTCGTTTCAGTGTGATCTTTTATCAAGTTAACCTTCACCCCCACCGAAACCTTCACAGCCCCTAATTCCTCCATCCCCCTTTCTACCAATCTTTGCATCCTACCCATATTTGTCTCCCAGTATCTCCTCAAATCAATCGTGGAACTACCAGAAAACGTTTGTGTCGTGAGGTTGTATTGCAAGTCCATCTTTATATATAAGGAATATCTTTTGCCTAGTTAGGTGTACAATACCCGCAATACCATAATTAACCCCACTATTACCCGCTTACGTCAACACGGTARGTCCTCAAGGTCACATTTTAAAATTTACTAGGTTTTTGGGATTTGACTACTACGCGAATCTGATTAACGCGGGAAATCCTTGGGTTTGGTGGGGTGAATCAGGAGTGGTATCCCCTATACTACTAAAACTTACAGCAACATGATCGTTACTGGAATTATTTCTTTAGTTCAGCCTAGATTTTTCCCTGAAAAGAAAGAGGAAAAGAATATGAATCGGCTTGGGTGCACTGCTCAGGGAAATCCACTGGTAACCGAATGGAAAAGAAAAAACCTGCTCAACGATGACATCTGGGTCTTTGATACGAAAGGTATGAATAGATGAATGGATGGATAGATGGGATAGAAGGAATGGGGGATGGTTTGGAGTATGGATGGATAGATGAGATGGATAGATGGTGAGTAGGTTGGTGTATAGATGGGTAGATGGGATGGATGTGGATGGATGGATGGATGAATGAATGGGATGGGATAGGATGGGATGGACGGTGCGTCAGTGGGTTGGTGGGTGGATGCGTGGGTGAATAAGTAGATATTTTTATAGTTCTTTTTTTCAAGAACTCTCGCAAACGTCTGTGGAACCATAGAAAGTGTTGTTCGATAGAAACTATTACGGTTTTGGATGTAAAAATCAAATATTTTGTTGAGTTTTTCATTCTAAAAAGTTTAACGCATCTTTTTCTCTCGTTATTATCAGATACCTCATCCAAAGGAAAGTACGTTTTTTCTAACATGGATGGCTTCAAGGATCACACCTTGACCATCTATGACGTACAACCTAAAGACGCCGGCCAGTATTATTGCTGCATCAAGAACATCAAAAGTCCCAGACCCCCCGAAGATATTAGTAACTGTCAGATCTTTGGAGTCCAACCCCAACCCCTACTCCAAACCCAGCCCCCATCCACACTCACTACCCCACCTCCAGGTCAGTATCAGTAGTCTGTCATCGATTATCACGTGACATGAACTGCTTTTATATTTATTTCCCTTTTACAAATTTACTTGATTTTCAGTCTCAGGTTTTGTAGTTGGCAAAGCAAGTCTCACGTTTTACATCATTCTCCTCGACCTGCTGCTGAATTGGTTGCTGTAATGATCACGTGACTACTCCACCAGGTCATGTGAGGCCTGACGATGGAAGTGTATCCATCATTTGACGAATGTAATTCCTTGTCAATAAGATAAAGGGCACTCTAAGTCTTATCATAAATGCTGAATTATATTGAATGCCTTCATTGTACTTTATATAAGATAGTTA